TTAGTCAGTATGTCATCCATTCAGTCATTTGTCTGAGTTGCAATAGGAATTAAATCAAAGAAAATAGAACAGTCTTATCCAGTTGTATATTGAAATCCATGTGTGTATTCAAAATTATCTAAATTCTCCACAGTTCTTTAGCCTATCACTTTAATAATTCAATGTTTAATTTAGGCCTATCCAAATAAAAAATAGGCCTTCAACTTGTAGGCATTGCAATTTAGGCTATCATTTTGGTTACTGGTGTCTTGTGGAATCATTTTAGAACTCTATTTGTGTTTTATAATTGTTTTTATTATAGGGCTCCCTTTAAAAAGAGACCCTAGCTCACAGGCCTCTAAATATAGCCTCTAAATAAATGTTAAACAAAATATTTGAAGAAGCACAGGCAGTGGCTGATAGGGAAAGCAGATCTGGCTATAGATAGTCTTGACCATTTGGGACCCCTCGACTATTTCGTTCAGGACAGGTTATAGCCAAGACTTAATCAATATTTTGTTTTGTCTCACTTATTCATATGGATATAGCCTCTGCGTGATGGGGTTGTGCAACGCAAATGGCTATAACAAGCCTACATACAGAGTGCAATTCACTAATTCAACAGTCAAAATGCCTACATTCCGTGCTCCCAAATACTGGAAAAAGTGTGATTCATTAGGTTGCATGATCACCACCGTAGCCCCACACGGCTATAAAAATGTATTATGCAATTATATGGCCATTAAATAACACACAACAGCATGTCATATTTAGATAGCGGAAAGGCCTATCCTAAATCATATTTACTTTATATTTTGCAGCTCAGGCGGTTATTCTAGACAAGGCTCTTCTGTGTCTATCATTCTCACACAAGTCATTTGCTGAAGGCCCAAGCCTATACTACGCCATCTGATGGTATAACATCGTTATTGAATGCAGTTCTTAAAAAAGCTAGACTGTTTTGGGGGAAATGAAACCGGAAACTGCAAAGGAACTCTAACGTCTGGGCTAGAGTTGCTTGATTGATTAGCTAACTTCGACTAGCTACGTTCAGTTCATGTCCTTTGCAGATGCCACATTACTGACAAAAGTTTGTACATATAAAAAATATCTGTAACCGAGTAAAGGGCGACGTAAAGTAAGAATTGAACGTGTAAATGTTCATTCATAGTTGTAACATAGGGTTTGTATGTTTACAGATCTAATTTAACGTTTACGTTTCATTTTTCACACATGGCTTTTCTTTTACGATCCTAACATTTTGCATATGGATTTTCTTACAATCCTAACGATATGTACGTTCAACCTTTTGGCAGCAATCTCTCTCCATAGTTAACGCCTTTAGTTGGCACTCCCTATTTTGATTTCTAGACAAACAATCCTTTATCTGATTTCCCTGATTTCATTTTCCTCCACCTTTTTTGGTTTGTTTCCTGTCAAATCAAATCAAATCAAATTTTATTTGCCACATGCGCCGAATACAATAGGTGTAGACATTACCGTGAAATGCTTACTTACAGCCCTTAACCAACAATGCATTTATTTTTTAATAAAAAAGTAAAATAAAACAACAACAACAGAAAAGTGTTGAGAAAAAAAGAGCAGAAGTAAAATAAAATAACAGTAGGGATGCTGTATACAGGGGGGTACCGGTGCAGAGTCAATGTGCGGGGGCACCGGCTAATTGAGGTAATATGTACATGTGGGTAGAGTTAAAGTGACTATGCATAAATAATTAACAGAGTAGCAGCAGCGTAAAAAGATGGGGTGGGGGTGGGGGGGGGGCAGTACAAATAGTCAGGGTAGCCATGATTAGCTGTTCAGGAGTCTTATGGCTTGGGGGTAGAAGCTGTTAAGAAGCCTTTTGGACCTAGACTTGGCGCTCCGGTACCGCTTGCCGTGCGGTAGCAGAGAGAACAGTGAATGACTAGGGTGGCTGGAGTCTTTGACAATTTTGAGGGCCTTCCTCTGACACCGCCTGGTATAGAGGTCCTGGATGGCAGGAAGCTTGGCCCCAGTGATGTACTGGGCCGTTCGCACTACCCTCTGTAGTGCCTTGCGGTCGGAGGCAGAGCAGTTGCCATACCAGGCGGTGATGCAACCAGTCAGGATGCTCTCGATGGTGCAGCCGTATAACTTTTTGAGGATCTGAGGACCCATGCCAAATCTTTTCAGTCTCTTCACGACTGTCTTGGTGTGTTTGGACCATGACTTTAAGTCTTTAAGTTTAGTGTGGGTTTTTCTTTTGTTTGCCTCTTAGTGGGCAAATGTAGTGGGTGCTTATGGTGGGTGTCTTTCAGGTCCCAGTTGTTGTTGCTATGCAACTTTCAGTGGACACCCCCATGAGTGTCTTTTTAGAACCCCTCCTAAAACCCCACCTGTTTCATTTTGGTTGTTGTCAGTGACTCTTTGTTAGTTCCTCCTTCTGTTGAGCGACATTTTTTGTTTTCCTGGGGAACGTAACTGAGCATTTCTCCTTTGCCAAGATAATCCTTCCACCTGACAGGTGTGGCATATCAAGAAGCTGATTAAACAGCATGATCATTACACAGGTGCCCCTTGTGCTGGGGACAATAAAAGGCCACTAAAATGTGCAGTTTTGTCACACAACACAATGCCACAAATGTTTCAAGTTTTGAGGGAGTGTGCAATTGGCATGCTTACTGCAGGAATGTCCACCAGAGCTGTTGCCAGAGAATTTAATGTTCATTTTCTACCATATGCCACCGCCGTTTTAAAGAATTTGGCCTCATAACCGCAGACCGCGTGTATGACGTCTTGTGGGTGATTGTACTGCTGATGTCAACGTTGTGTCCCATGCTGGCGGTGGGGTTATGGTATGGGCAGGCATAAGCAATGGACAATGAACACAATTGCATTTTATTGATGGCAATTTGAATGCACAGAAATACCGTGACGAGATCCTGAGGTCGATTTTTTTATAAGGTACAGTTGAAGTCGGACGTTTACATACACCTTAGCCAAATACATTTAAACTCAGTTTTTCACAATTCCTGACATTTAATCCTAGTAAAAATTCCCTGCCTTAGGTCAGTTAGGATCACCACTTTATTTTAAGAATGTGAAATGTCAGAATAATAGTAGAGAGAATGATTTATTTCAGCTTTTATTTCTTTCATCACATTTCCAGTGGGTCAGAAGTTTACATGCACTCAATTAGTATTTGGTAGCATTGCCTTTAAATTGTTTAACTTGGGTCAAACGTTTCGGGTAGCCTTCCACAAGCTTCCCACAATAAGTTGGGTGAATTTTGGCCCATTCCTCCTGACAGAGCTAGTGTAACTGAGTCAGGTTTGTAGGGCTCCTTGCTCGCACACGCTTTTTCAGTTCTGCCCACAAATGACTGATGTATTATATTTATTAATCATTTATTTTATTATTATTTTTGCTGACGCTCTTATCCAGAGCGACTTACATGAGCAATTAGGGTTAAATGCCTTGCTCAAGGGCACATCGACAGATTTTTCACCTAGTCGGCTCGGCAATTAGAACCAGCGACCTTTCGGTTACTGGCACAATGCTCTTAACCACTAAGCTACCTGCCGCCCTATGTCTTGAGATGTTTCTTCAATATATCCACATAATTTTCCTTCCTCATGATACCATCTATTTTGTGAAGTGCACCAGTCCCTCCTGCAGCAAAGCACCCCGGCAGCATGATGCTGCCACCCCCGTGCTTCACGGTTGGGATGGTGTTCTTCGGCTTGCAAGCAGCCCCCTTTTTCCTCCAAACATAACGATGGTCATTATGGCCAAACAGTTATATTTTTGTTTCATCAGACCAGAGGACATTTCTCCAAAATGTACGACCTTTGTCCCCATGTGCAGTTGCAAACCATAGTCTGACTTTTTTATGGCGGTTTTGGAGCAGTGGCTTCTTCCTTGCTGAGCGGCCTTTCAGGTTATGTCGATATAGGACTCTTTTTACTGTGGATATAGATACTTTTGTACCTGTTTCCTCCAGCATCTTCACAAGGTCCTTTGCTGTTGTTCTGGGATTGATTTGCACTTTTCGCACCAAAGTACGTTCATCTCTAGGAGACAGAACGAGTCTCCTTCCTGAGCGGTATGATGGCTGTGTGGTCCCATGGTGTTTATACTTGCATACTATTGTTTGTACAGATGAACGTGGAACCTTTAGGCGTTTGTAGATTGCTCCCAAGGATGATTTCTGAGGTCTTGCCTGATTTCTTTTGATTTTCCCATGATGTCAAGCAAAGAGGCACTGAGTTTGAAGGTAGGCCTTGAAATACATCCACAAGTACACCTCCAATTGACTGAAATTATGTCAATTAGCCTATCAGAAGCTTCTAAATCCATGACATCATTTTCTGGAATTTTCCAAGCTGTTTAAAGGCACAGTCAACTTAGTGTATGTAAACATCTGACCCACTGGAATTGTGATACAGTGAAATAATCTGTCTGTAAACAATTGTTGGAAAAATTACTTGTCATGCACAAAGTAGATGTCCAAACCGACTTGCCAAAACTATAGTTTGTATGGGTGGTCCTCTGTAGCTCAGCTGGTAGAGCACGGCACTTGTAACGCCAGGGTAGTGGGTTCGATCCCCGGGACCACCCGTACACAAAATAAATTATGCACGCATGACTGTAAGTCGCTTTGGATAAAAGCGTCTGCTAAATGGCATATTATTATATTATATTTAACAAGACATTTGTGGAGTGGTTGGAAAAACTAGTTTTATTGACTCCAAGCGAAGTGTATGTAAACTTCCGACTTCAACTGTATCTGTGACTAACAGATGTATATCTATATTCCCAGTCATGTGAAATCCATAGACTAGAGCCTAATGAATTCATTTCAATTGACTGATTTCCTCAGTAAAATCTTTGAAATTGTTTCATGTTGCGTTTATATTTTTGTTCAGTATAGATGAATAATTCAATTTGATTCAATATGAGTCAATTCAAATTGGATATGATTCAATATGAGTGATTGGATTGAATATGAGTCTATTCAATATGATTTCTCTCCCCAGATCAACAATGCAGGCTGTATGGTGAACCAGAGAGAGCTGACAGAGGAAGGTTTGGAGAAGAACTTTGCTACTAACATGCTCGGTCAGTAGTCACGTCTCACTGGAAACAATGTACAACACTTGCTAGTATAGGTTGATGTTTACTGACAATGTTCTTCCTTATCATTACTCTTCACTTGGTTAGGTACATTCATCCTAACCACAGCGTTGATACCAGCCCTGAAACAGGCACAAGACCCACGAGTGATGAGTAATGTCATGCCTTATACAAATGACATTTGCCCAATACTGAACATAGTCAATTTTTTTTACATTTTAGTCATTTTAGCAGACGCTCTTATCCAGAGCGACTTACAGTTAGAAAGTGCATACATTTTTCATACTGGCCCCCCGTGGGAATCGAACCTACCAACTGAGCTAATGAAAAGCCTTAGAAATTAGAAAAGTTGTTCTTGTATGGCCTTTCCCCCATTAGTTCTGTGTTATTGTGCTTGATTAACACCTAATTCACCAGCAGAGGAACTAGTGTGTCTGAACAAATGCATCCAAGGAATCTATTACATATTACAAAAAAAACAAGAAAAGGACATGTCCCATCTGTCTATAACAGTCTAACAGCACAGATTGTCATCATGACAATCACCCCTCTCCTCCAGATCAGTGTCATCAGGAGGCATGCTGGTCCAGAAGATGAGCGTGGACGACCTGCAGTCTGAGAAGGGGACGTTCGATGGCACTATGGCCTACCCCCAGAACAAAGTAAGGATATGGCACATCTACTACCCACTCATCACCCTGAGTGAATGCATTATCTAGCCCATGACTGTGCTGAGATAGGGTAAAACATTTTGTCTCAAAGTTAACCCTTTGGACCCCAAAATAATTAAGTAAAATATTCTGTTACAGTTCTGTTATATTCTCTGTGAAAGTTATTTTCTGTGTGTTGTGGTGACAGAGACAACAGGTGATACTGACAGAGATGGGCATCTCAGCATAAAGAGATCCACTTCTCCTCAATGCACCCTGGCTGGGCTGACACTCCAGGTACTACCACTGATCTAGAGTCAGAAATGCAGACAGAAATCTACCAGTACAATCAGTATAATCATCCATGCATTTCTTGATCGATTCTGTTAAGGAAAACGCCCTACATCTTTGTTGACTATGTGTTCCATGTAGCTGTGCAGTTGTCCATGCCTGACTTCCATGCTAAGATGAAGAACAAGCTGCGTACGGTGGCTATGGGGGCCGACACGGTGGTGTGGCTGGCTGTCTCAGCTGTGGCCTCCAAGCAGCCCGGTGGACTCTTCTTCCAGGGTGAGACACAGGGGCCTTTTCTTAATTAGATTTGCTCAACTCCTGTGTCCTCTCTCCTTCGTCCTCTCTGGCCTTCTTTTGAAAAAGGTTAAAGGTAATTGAGGAGAGGCGGCGAGGAGAGGGAAAGTGAATGAAAATGTGCTCATATGAAGTTAGACTCTCCTTCTACAATCACGCGTCATCAGGCAAATTACGTTTACAGGGTGGAATCCCAAAAGAAATGTAAAGTGATAAACAAATGTAGCTAATTGTGCAAGACATGTATTAGATAAAAGGATAAGAAGCATATCGTTTTTAAATGTTTCCTCCTTTGAGAAAACAATAGATGATTCAAAGGGGGTGTGGCAGATTTCAAAACTCTTCTGCGAAGGACTCAGTTAGAATACACTTATGCTTCCTCACCAAATTGAGGCAATCGAGGAGGGGAGGACAGTCTTCCATTTGCCTACTAATGAATTGACACACTCCTCGACCACTTATCGGTTTCCGGGTCACGGAGGACAGACTTTTGCCCAAACGAGAGAACCCCAGGGATGGAGAGGGTAGGGAGTGGAACAGGAAGGGTTTTTTCTTCTTCTTGGAAATGCCTCCTTGATAGACACATCCTGACTCTGTTCAAATACCTTCCTGAAATCTCTTACATCTGATCCCCTTTTTTCTTTCCCATAATGCCCCAGACCGGAAGGCGGTGCCCACACACCTGCCTCTGGCTTCATCCAGGTCTTCTCCGGCCGATGAGAAGTTGCAGACGACACTGGAGCAGCTGGCACACAAGTTCAAACCTTTCCTACAGGGGTCAAAAGGTTAAGCACAGACCCTCCAGCCCATGTGTCTGTTTACAAACACACCTCATTATGGATATGCACTGTATAAAGTGGACATAGCAGTAATATTTAAAAAATATATTTCTATTTAAGTTGTAAATCAGTGGAGGCTGGTGGGAGGAGCTATAGAAGGACGGGCTCATTGTAATGGCTGGAATGGAATAAATGGAACAGTATCAAACATGCAAACTACGATTAATTCCATTAATTCCATTCCAGCCATTACACAGAGCTCGTCCTCCTATAGCTCCTCCCACCAGCCGCCACTGCTGTAAATACAAACAGATTGCTATTGCTAAGATCAAAGTGTAGCCACACGGAACATTCCAAAGGGTAATGTTTGGGGTCATCTGATGCTCCATTAATTTTAACAATATACTACTTCCTTCTCAAATGATGCTATAAAGGATTTTCCGTTAGCCTGTATGTTGCATACTACATACATTTCAGTAACAATACAGTACATACTGGCACTCAGACCACAGCATAATATCAGTGGTGTAGCACAGTTTCGCAAGGTCCAAGCATGCCAGTCTATCCAGATGCCAATATATTTGTAAGCATGGACATGATCAATATGGACACCATCCAAAGTACACATGCTTAAATCAGACTTATTTCTATGCGCTCTAGAGAACAACATATACTTAAATTAGTACTGAATGCAGGTAAAACTAAGGTCAATAAAGTTATGTAATACAATGAAGGCAGACTGTAGTTCAGATAGAGCCTGGTCAACCGTGGGGGCAATAGCATAAACAACAGTATCATCGGCATACAAGTGCAGGTTACAATTTAATTAACAGACAAGTCGATATTGTTCATGTAAAGAGTACAGGACCCCTGCGAGACACCTTTCGTAATATCCAGGAAACCTGATTTAACACCATCAGTAGATATATGTTGAGTTCTATCTGTCAAGTAATTTTTAAACCAGTTACATGCAGGCCAATTGAGGAAAGCCTCTGAATTAGCAGTGAGTGATCAACAGTATCGAAAGCCTTTGACAGGTCAATGAAGAGGGCAGCACAATGTTGCCTTTTATCCACATCATTTATAACTAGGGATGCATAACTATAACTAGGGATGCATAACTATAACTAGGGAAGCATAACTATAACTAGGGAAGCATGTCTGGTGCAATAACAAAGGCACCTCATCAAACTAAACTTCAAGTAGATCATTTAGGCACTGATCAATCTTTCAATGTTAAAAATAGGTATTAGTAAAAAGAAAACAGCAGAAGCGTCTTCAAAAAGCTTTACTTAATTTTCTTTGTATTGTAGCCTAAACTAACAAAATAAAACAAATAAAACCTTAATTGAGTGCTTAATCTAAAGTAAGTCCGTCATTAACTTTAATAAATACTGATTGAATCAATAATTTATGAAACTTATTGTATATGGGAATAATAATAATTTTGTAGCTTATTTTCCTCGAGAACTTTCATCAGAACAACTTTGAAAAGAATTTCACAGCCATTCCTTCAAGTTTGGGGAATATTCCTGGTAGGAACATTGTAGCTGCAGTCCCAACAGTATCCAGAGCCTTGCTAATGAATGACGGCCTATTCTCTTCCTCTTGTGCCTTCGCATCCTTAAGGGCATCTATCTCTCTTTGCATTTGGCTTGCTTTGTCATCAAATCCTTGCTGGAGGAGGTCACTCTGCTCCTGAAATGACAAATACAGTTTGTAACATACAGTACATCAGACATAGTGTATACCTGACAAATGCAGTGTACACATCAGACACACATCGTATTACTACAGTTACTGTAGTTTTAAAGTGTACTTCTCAATGTTTGTGTTTTTGGTTCCTACCTTGAGTCTGGCCTGCAGAACTCTATCGTGCTCTGCGACGGCATTTCTGCTGTCTCTCTCCATCCTGTCCATCAACTGGTTCACATTTTCCTCATATGTCCTCAGCTGGTCCGCTCTCAACCTCTCCTAGACTACCAGCTGCTCCTCCATGGCGCGATTCTCCCGCTCAGATGCCTCCCTTCTTGCTTCCTCGGCTAAAGAGGAAGAGAGTATGTGTGACAGAGAGAGACTGAGGGAAAGAGAGTGAGAGGTAAGCCTTCATGTGGTGGTCATTAGAATGTTGTCGTCAGGACATGTGTATTGTCCTTGTAGCACACTGATTTGGCAGATGTTAGTTACATATTTATTATATCACCTTCTGCTCTCTGCTCAGCTTCAGTGAGGGACTGGTCTGCTGACAGGATGGCCTGACCAATGCTTGCCTTCCTTTCCAAGTACTCCTTCAGTACATCTTTAGCCTTGAACAACCACATACAATGTTTAACTTTCAACATCACATCAGTCCATTCATAACTCCTTTAAACAGCATCCACAAAACATGATAATTGCATACTGTCCTAAAATAGCTGAAGCACCACCTCCAACATACCTTCACTCCCCTGCCTCCCTCAGATCTGTATTCGCTGGTGGCCAGTTTCAGGTCGTTGCAGTACACTTTGTATCCTCCAGGGGTCATGTAGGAGCCATCCCTTATTTGCTCCTCCATGGGGGCAAAGATGCATTCGATTTTGGACTCACATGCCTTCTGGGACTCCTTGTAGTTCCTCTCACAGATCTTCTCGTACTCCTCCTGAAGCACTTTCTACAGAAAGAGGTTGGTTCAGAATGTACCAGAATGAACCAGAATGTCTTGGTTGAGTTGAGGTAATAAAATGGTACCATAAAGGGATAGTTCACCCAAAATACAAATTAACCTAATCTTGTTAAATACATGTATCATTGAATTTAATATTGACTCATTGAATATAGAATCTACACTCCCATACCATGAGCTCCAACTGGTACTTCTGGTCCTCATATTTAAAGGAGCTGTTGATGAATATGGCCACAGCCTCCTTCTCCATGACAGCATGCACTTCAGACAGCTCCTCTTGGGTGTCTGTGGGGTAGGCCACCCAGTCAGCCATGCCCCTCTGGTAGTGGGCCCTGGCCCTCTCGATGGCGCTGGAGTTCTCTATCTGGGCCAGCGCCACCACAGCATTGTCCAGGCAGGGGATCTGCCCGCTCCGGATGGCAGACACATATGTCTCTGCCAGGTTCCCCAGCACTGCAGGAGAGAGAGGGAGAGAGTGTGTGAGTGAGTGAGCAAGCGGAATCTGCATATATACACTCAGTGGCAGGTTTATTAGGTTCACGAAAATAGTTTGCTCCTACAGACAGTGCGTCACGTTTGCTGTGACTTGCTATATAAAGCAGGCAGACATCGAGGCATTCAGTTACTGTTCAATTGAACGTTAGAATGGGCAAAACGAGTGACCTAAGCAACTTTTAGCGTGGTATGATCGTCTGTGCAAGGCGCGCCGGTTCCAGTATCTCAGAAACGTCCGGCTTCCTGGGCATTTCACGTACGACAGTGTCTAGGGTTTGCCGAGAATGGTGCGACAAACAAAAAACATGCAGTCAGTGGCAGTCCTGTGGGCGAAAAAAGCTTGTTGATGAGAGAGGTCGAAGGAGAATGGCAAGAAACGAGCAAGCTAACAGGCAGGCCATAAACAGGCAAATAACGGCGCAGTAAAATAGTGGTGTGCGGAACGGCATTTCGGAACTAACAACTCGTTGGTCCTTGTCACGGATTGGCTATTGCATCAGATGACCGCACTGGATTCTACTCCTATCAGCTAAAACCAAAAATAAGCAACTCCACTGGACAATTGAGAAGTGGAAAAACATTGCCTGGTCCGACGAATTCCGGTTCCTGTTGCGTCATGCTGATGGCATAGTCAGGATTTGGCGTAAGCAGCATAAGTCCCATCCTGCCTGGTGTCAACGGTTTAGGCTGGTGGGGGTGGGGTCTAATGGTTAGGGGAATGTTTTCCTGGCAGACGTTGGGGTCCCTTGATACCAATTGTGCAAAGTTTGAACGCGACACTTTGTAGAATCCATGCCCAGAAGAATTCAGGCTGTTCTGGATAAAATTGGGGGTCCAACCCGGTTCCTGATGGGCATACCTAATAAACTGGACACTGACTGACTTATATACAGTGCATTCGGAAAGTATTCAGACCCTTTGACTTTTTCCACATTTTGTTACGTTAGCCTTATTCTAAAATGGATTTAATTGTTTTTTTCCCTCATCACTCTACACACAATACCCCTTAATAACAAAGCAAAAACAGGTTTTTAGATTTTTTTGCAAATATATAAAAAACTAAACTGAAATTACATTTACATAAGTATTCAGACCCTTTACTCAGTACTTTGTTGAAGCACTTTTGGCAGCGATTACAGCCCCGAGTCTTCTTGGGTATGACGCCACAAGCTTGGCACACCTGTATTTGGGGAGTTTCTCCCATTCTTCTCTGCAGATCCTGTCAAGCTCTCTGTCAGGTTGGATGGGGAGCGTCGATGCACAGCTATTTTCAGGTCTCTCCATAGATGTTCGATTGGGTTCAAATCCGGGCTCTGGCTGTGCATTTCAAGGACATTAAGAGACTTGTCCCGAAGCCACTCCTGCGTTGTCTTGGCTGTGTGCTTAGGGTCGTTGTCCTGTTGGAAGGTGAACCTTCACAGTAGGGATGGTGCCAGGTTTCCTCCAGACGTGACGCTTGACATTCAGGCCAAAGAGTTGAATCTTGGTTTCATCAGACCAGAGAATCTTGTATCTCATGGTCTGAGAGTCCTTTAGGTGCCTTTTGGCAAACTCCAAGCGGGCTGTCTTGTGCCTTTTACTGAGGAGTGGCTTCCGTCTGGCCACTCTACCATAAAGACCTGATTGGTGTAGTGCTGCAGAGATGGTTGTCCTTCTGGAAGGTTCTTCCATCTCCACAGAGGAACTCAGGAGCTCTGTCAGAGTGACCATCAGGTTCTTGGTCACCTCCCTGACCAAGGCCCTTCTCCCCCGATTGCTTAGTTTGGCTGGGCCGCCAGCTCTAGGAAGAGTCTTGGTGGTTCCAAACTTCTTCCATATTTAGCATGATGGAGGCCACTGTGTTCTTGGGGACCTTCAATGCTGCAGAAATTTTTTGGAGCCCTTCCCCAAATCTGTGCCTCGACAAAATCCTGTCTCGGAGCTCCACAGACAATTCCTTTGACCTCATGGCTTGGTTTTTGCTCTGACATGCACTGTCAACTGTGGGACCTTATATAGACAAGTGTGTGCCTTTCCAAATCAAGTCCAATCAATTTAATTTCCACAGGTGGACTCATATCAAGTTGTAGAAACATCTCAAGGATGATCAATGGAAACAGGATGCACCTGAGCTCAATTTCGAGTATCATAGCAAAGGGTCTGACTACGTATGTAAATAAGATCTGTTTTTATTTTTTATACATTAGCAAAAATGTCTAAACCTGTTTTCGCTTTGTCATTGGGGGGCATTGTGTGTAGATTGATGAGGAAAAAAATATATTTAATCCATTTTAGAAAAAGGCTGCAACATAAACTGTGGAAAAAGGGAAGGGTTCTGAATACTTTCCGAATGCACTGTATACACACACACACACATATATATATATATATATATATATATATATATATATATATATATATATATATATATATATATATATATATATATATATATATATATATATGTGTGTGTGTGTGTGTGTGTGTGTGTGTGTGTGTATATGTATATATATATATATATATATATACATACATACAGTGGGGGAAAAAAGTATTTAGTCAGCCACCAATTGTGCAAGTTCTCCCACTTAAAAAGATGAGAGAGGCCTGTAATTTTCATCATAGGTACACGTCAACTATGACAGACAAATTGAGAAAAAATTATCCAGAAAATCACATTGTAAAAATTTATATGAATTTATTTGCAAATTATGTTGGAAAATAAGTATTTGGTCACCTACAAACAAGCAAGATTTCTGGCTCTCACAGACCTGTAACTTCTTCTTTAAGAGGCTCCTCTGTCCTCCACTCGTTACCTGTATTAATGGCACCTGTTTGAACTTGTTATCAGTATAAAAGACACCTGTCCACAACCTCAAACAGTCACACTCCAAACTCCACTAGGGCCAAGACCAAAGAGCTGTCAAAGGACACCCGAAACAGAATTGTAGACCTGCACCAGGCTGGGAAGACTGAATCTGCAATAGGTAAGCAGCTTGGTTTGAAGAAATCAACTGTGGGAGCATTTATTAGGAAATGGAAGACATACAAGACCACTGATAATCTCCCTCGATCTGGGGCTCCACGCAAGATCTCACCCCGTGGGGTCAAAATGATCACAAGAACGGTGAGCAAAAATCCCAGAACCACACGGGGGGACCTAGTGAATGACCTGCAGAGAGCTGGGACCAAAGTAACAAAGCCTACCATCAGTAACACACTACGCCGCCAGGGACTCAAATCCTGCAGTGCCAGATGTGTCCCCCTGCTTAAGCCAGTAATTGTCCAGTCCCATCTGAAGTTTGCTAGTGTGCATTTGGATGATCCAGAAGAGGATTGGGAGAATGTCATATGGTCAGATGAAACCAAAATATAACTTTTTGGTTCGTCGTGTTTGGAGGACAAAGAATGCTGAGTTGCATCCAAAAAACACCATACCTACTGTGAAGCATAGGGGCGGAAACATCATGCTTTGGGGCTGTTTTTCTGCAAAGGGACCAGGACGACTGATCCGTGTAAAGGAAAGAATGAATGGGGCCATGTATCGTGAGATTTTGAGTGAAAACCTCCTTCCATCAGCAAGGGCATTGAAGATGAAACGTGGCTGGGTCTTTCAGCATGACAATGATCCCAAACACACCGCCCAGGCAACGAAGGAGTGGCTTCGTAAGAAGCATTTCAAGGTCCTGGAGTGGCCTAGCCAGTCTCCAGATCTCAACCCCATAGAAAATCTTTGGAGGGAGTTGGAAGTCCGTGTTGCCCAGCGACAGCCCCAAAACATCACTGCTCTAGAGGAGATCTGCATGGAGGAATGGGCCAAAATACCAGCAACAGTGTGTGAAAACCTTGTGAAGACATACATAAAACGTTTGACCTGTGTCATTGCCAACAAAGGTTATATAACAAAGTATTGAGAAACTTTTGTTATTGACCAAATACTTATTTTCCACCATAATTTGCAAATAAATTCATTAAAAATCCTACAATGTGATTTTCTGGATTTTTTTTTCTCATTTTGTATGTCATAGTTGACGTGTACCTATGATGAAGATTACAGGCCTCTCTCATCTTTTTAAGTGGGAGAACTTGCACAATTGGTGGCTGACTAAATACTTTTTTTCCCCACTGTACATACATACATACATACATACATACATACATACATACATACATACATACATACATACATACATACATACATACAGTGAGGGAAAAAAGTATTTGATCCCCTGCTGATTTTGTACGTTTGCCCACTGACAAAGAAATGATCAGTCTATAATTTTAATGGTAGGTTTATTTGAACAGTGAGAGACAAAATAACAACAAAAAAATCCAGAAAAACGCATGTCAAAAAAGTTATAAATTTATTTGCATTTTAATGAGAGAAATAAGTATTTGACCCCCTCTCAATCAGAAAGATTTCTGGCTCCCAGGTGTCTTTTATACAGGTAACAAGCTGAGATTAGGAGCACACTCTTAAAGGGAGTGCTCCTAATCTCAGTTTGTTACCTGTATAAAAGACACCTGTCCACAGAAGCAATCAATCAATCAGATTCCAAACTCTCCACCATGGCCAAGACCAAAGAGCTCTCCAAGGATGTCAGGGACAAGATTGTAGACCTACACAAGGCTGGAATGGGCTACAAGACCATCGCCAAGCAGCTTGGTGAGAAGGTGACAACAGTTGGTGCGATTATTCGCAAATGGAAGAAACACAAAAGAACTGACAATCTCCCTCGGCCTGGGGCTCCATGCAAGATACCACCTCGTGGAGTTACAATGATCATGAGAACGGTGAGGAATCAGCTCAGAACTACACGGGAGGATCTTGTCAATGATCTCAAGGCAGCTGGGACCATAGTCACCAAGAAAACTATTGGTAACACACTACGCCGTGAAGGACTGAAATCCTGCAGCGCCCGCAAGGTCCCCCTGCTCAAGAAAGCACATATACAGGCCCGTCTGAAGTTTGCCAATTAACATCTGAATGATTCAGAGGAGAACTGGGTGAAAGTGTTGTGGTCAGATGAGACTAAAATCGAGCTCTTTGGCATCAACTCAACTCGCCGTGTTTGGAGGAGGATGAATGCTGCCTATGACCCCAAGAACACCATCCCCACTGTCAAACATGGAGGTGGAAACATTATGCTTTGGGGGTGTTTTTCTGCTAAGGGGACAGGACAACTTCACCGCATCAAAGGGACGATGGACGGGCCATGTACCGTCAAATCTTAGGTGAGAACCTCCTTCCCTCAGCCAGGGCATTGAAAATGGGTCGTGGATGGGTATTCCAGCATGACAATTACCCAAAACACACGGCCAAGGCAACAAAGGAGTGGCTCAAGAAGAAGCATATTAAGGTCCTGGAGTGGCCTAGCCAGTCTCCAGACCTTAATCCCATAGAAAGCCTGTGGAGGGAGCTGAAGGTTCGAGTTGCGAAACGTCATGCTCAAAACCTTAATGACTTGGAGAAGATCTGCAAAGAGGAGTGGGACAAAATCCCTCCTGAGAAAACCTGGTGGCCAACTACAAGAAACGTCTGACATCTGTGATTGCCAACAAGGGTTTTGCCACCAAGTACTAAATCATGTTTTGCAGAGGGGTCAAATACTTATTTCCCTCATTAAAATGCAAATCAATTGATAATATTTATGACATACGTTTTTATGGATTTTTTTTGTTGTTATTCTGTCTCTCACTGTTCAAATAAACCTACTATTAAAATTATAGACTGATCATGTCTTTGTCAGTGGGCAAACGTACAAAATCAGCAGGGGATCAAATACTTTTTTCCCTCACTGTACATGCATACATACATACATACATACATACATACATACATACACATACAGTGGGGAGAACAAGTATTTGATACACTACCGATTCTGCAGGTTTTCCTACTTACAAAGCATGTAGAGGTCTGTAATTTTTATTATAGGTACACTTCAACTGTGAGAGACGGAATCTAAAACAAAAATCCAGAAAATCACATTGTATGATTTTTTTGTAATTAATTTGCATTTTATTGCATGACATACGTATTTGATCACCTACCAACCAGTAAGAATTCCGGCTCTCACAGACCTGTTAGTTTTTTTTAAGAAGCCCTCCTGTTCTCCACTCATTACCTGTATTAACTGCCCCTGTTTGAACTCGTTACCTGTATAAAAGACACCTGTCCATACACTCAATCAAACCGACTCCAACCTCTCCACAATGGCCAAGACCAGAGAGCTGTGTAACGACATCAGGGATGAAATTGTAGACCTGCACAAGGCTGGGATGGGCTACAGGACAATAGGCAAGAAGCTTGGTGAGAAGGCAACAACTGTTGGCGCAATTATTAGAAAATGGAAGAAGTTCAAGATGACGGTCAATCACCCTCTGTCTGGGGCTCCATGCAAGATCTCACCTCGTGGGGCATCAATGATCATGAGGAAGGTGAGGGATCAGCCCAGAACTACACGGCAGGACCTGGTCAATGACCTGAAGAGAGCTGGGACCACAGTCTCAAAGAAAACCATTAGTAACACACTACGCTGTCATGGATTAAAATCCTGCAGCGCACGCAAGGTCCCCCTGCTCAAGCCAGCGCATGTCCAGGCCCATCTGAAGTTTCCCAATGACCATCTGGACGATCCAGAGAAGGAATGGGAGAAGGTCATGTGGTCTGATGAGACAAAAATAGAGCTTTTTGGTCTAACCTCCACTCGCCGTGTTTGGAGGAAGAAGAAGGATGAGTACAACCCCAAGAACACCATCCCAACCCTGAAGCATGGAGGTGGAAACATCATTCTTAGGGGATGCTTTTCTGAAAAGGGGACAGGACGACTGCACCGTATTGAGGGGAGGATGGATGGGGCCATGTATCGCGAGATCTTGGCCAACAACCTCCTTCCCTCAGTAAGAGCATTGAAGATGGGTCGTGGCTGGGTCTTCCAGCATGACAACGACCCGAAACACACAGCCAGGGCAACTAAGGAGTGGCTCCGTAAGAAGCATCTCAAGGTCCTGGAGTGGCCTAGCCAGTCTCCAGATCTGAACCCAATAGAAAATCTTTGGAGGGAGCTGAAAGTCCGTATTGCCCAGCGACAGCCCCGAAACCTGAAGGATCTGGAGAAGGTCTGTATGGAGGAGTGGGCCAAAATCCCTGCTGCAGTGTGTGCAAACCTGGTCAAGACCTACAGGAAAAGTATGATCTCTGTAATTGCAAACAGAGGTTTCTGTACCAAATATTAAGTTATGCTTTTCTCATGTATCAAATAGTTATGTCATGCAATAAAATGCAAATGAATTACTTAAAAATCATACAATGTGATTTTCTGGATTTTTGTTTTAGATTCCTCTCACAGTTGAAGTGTACCTATGATAAAAATTACAGACCTCTACATGCTTTGTAAGTAGGAAAACCTGCAAAATCGTCAGTGTATCAAATACTTGTTCTCCCCACTGTACATACACACACACACACATATGTACACTACCGTTCAAAAGTTTGGGGTCACTTAGAAATGTCCTTGTTTTCGAAAAGAAAGTAATTTTTTTGTCCATTAAAATAATGTCAAATTGATCAGAAATACAGTGTAGACATTGTTAATGTTGTAAATGGATATTGTAGCTGGAAACGGCTGATTTTTAATGGAATATCTACATAGGCGTACAGAGGCCCATTATCAGCAACCATCAGTCCGGTGTTCCAATGGCACGTTGTGTTTGCTAAGCCAAGTTTATCATTTTAAAAGGCTAATTGATCATTAGAAAACCCTTTGATATTATGTTAGCACAGCTGAAAGCTGTTGTGCTGATTAAAGAAGCAATAAAACTGGCCTTCTTGAGATTAGTTGAGTATCTGGAGCATCAGCAATTGTGGGTTCGACTACAGGCTCAAAATGGCCAGAAACAAATAACTTTCTTCTGAAACTCATCAGTCTATTCTTGTTCTGAGAAATGAAGGCTATTCTATGTGAGAAATTGCGAAGAAACTGAAGATCTCGTTGATAGATTAATTATTAATGACTAATTATTACACCCTGAAACTGTGTATAATGTGTTAGAAATGTGTGAGTGTAGGACCAGTAAAGACTATGGCATTGAGCCACTATTTAGCAATGTGAGTAAGAGTTAGGCCAGACAACAAAGGACAAGGAGAACTGCCTACAGGCAACTGATAACTGAGGAATTTAGGGAGTAGAGAAACTGTTAGGCTTTTTAATGAGTATGAAAACATGGTGCAGAATATTGTGAGAACGGCAATAACTGAGGAATGCAGGCTATGATAAGAAAGTGTGTATGCATGTGTTTGTGGATGTATGTGTGTGTGTATGCGTGTGTGTGTGTGTGTGGATGTATGTGTGTGTGTGTATGTATGTGTGTATGCATGTGTGTATATGTGTGTGTGTGTGTGTGTGTGAACTGATGGTCAGGAGAGCAGTTTTAGAGTGGAAAACTACAGCCCGCCTACAGAGGGGAGGGATTTTCTTGTATGAGTATAAAAGATGGACTCTGAAATTGTGATGGCAGAATTCTTAATGAATAAAGATCTCTGACTATGCAGATCGGGACTCTGTCCGTTACTTAAATCCCAAAAGACTTACAACCTTTTGGGAGACGCACAGAGACACTGAAATAGTTTGTTTAATAATTCACATAACACTCGTACACCGCTGTGTACTACAACCTTCACAGAACAGCACAAACTGGCTCTTACCAGAATAGATAGAGGAGTGGGAGGCCCCGGTGCACAACTGAGCAAGATGACAAATACATTAGTGTCTAGTTTGAGAAACAGGCGCCTCTCACAGGTCCTCAACTGGCAGCTTCAAAACACCAGTCTCAACGTCAACAGTGAAGAGGCGACTCCGGGATGCTGACCTTCTAGGCAGAGTTGCAAAGAAAAAGCCATATCTCAGACTGCCCATCTTAATCTTTTATTTTTATTGGCCAGTCTGTGGGAAGCATTGGAGTCAACATGGGCCAGCATCCCTGTGGAACGCTTTTTGACACCTTGTAGAGTCCATGCCCTGACGAATTGAGGCTGTTCTGATGGCAAAAGGTGGTGCAACTCAATATTAGGAAGGTGTTCCTAATGTGTTGCACACTCAGTGTATAGTTGTGGTAGTGATGGATGTAGTATGGATGGAAGTAGTATAAATAGTAGTATTACTTGTAGAAGTAGTAAAGGAAATGGTAGTAGTTGTAGTGGTGCTGGTGGTAGTAGTAGTAGTAGTAGTATTGGTAGTAGTGGTGGCACTGGTGGTTGTAGTATCAGCTGTTGTACTGTAGTATATTTGTTGTATTATAATAATTATACTCACGTCTGCCGGTAACTTTCAGGCCCTGTTTCAGGGTCTTGGTCTTGGCCTCCTTGAAGACGTGATCACAGAACTCCTTGGCTTGCTCCACAAAGGAGGGCTCCAGGTCAGCATCGGTCAGCTCCTCCATACGTCTCATTTTGTCTCTGCTGGCTGGCCTCTCAAACACAAAGCACCAGCGAGGAGAGAAATAGTTCCGCAGGCAGCTACGAGGCAGGTTGTACTGCTGAACCTTTGACCTTGAAAAATATGCATATAAGCCTAAATTAACTACTTTTATGTGCGCAACAATATTTGATGTATGTATTCATACATTCATATTTACTATCATCAATCCAGTTATGTGCTAGTTAGAATTCTCGCCTGTTTTCAGTTTAAGAGCGTTCTCCAGGTACTCATTGGCTGTGATGCGTCTTCCATCAACCTCCAGGGTCAGGGTGAAATCTCTGACTGTCCACACAAAGGAAGGAAAGTAACGCAGGTACTCTGAAGATTCCTCCCCGTCTCGCTGGTTGGACTTCACCTTGATGTGCTCTGTCAGTTCTGTCACATAGCTGAAAAGGGTGGTGTTGAGGACTAAATGAAACCAGATATACTAACATACAGTATAGTGCTGAGCAATTAGCGCTTTTTGAGGTCTGTTCGGTTTCTGTTCGATTATTTTAAAAATAATCATGTTTTCGATAAATTTGTTTAGACATTAAAATGCACTATATGGGTTGAATACTGTAACACAGAATAAACAATTAATAAAAGTCCCATGGTGGTAGTGACTGCCTATTACAGCTTATCACTTATTAACCATCATTTATTCACAGTACATTAATAAAATATTTGTTTTATTATTTCATTCCAAGTTATCATCTCATCTCTATAGAGCTGCTGCCTGTGCTGTCTGAAAAAAATCACTATTTTAGTAGTTCTTCAAAGTAAATAAGGCATACTTTTATGACTGCTGAATACCAACTATCAGTCACTTAGATCATGTATTTTCAAGCTCGCGCAGTTCACACGTTCTCTCTTCTCTCTGCGCTGCACAGACCGGACAAGTTTAAGCGGGCGCGCAATGGATTATGGTCATTGTAGTCAATTACCACGTTTTCTGCGCTAAATTATGTAGAATATTGGCCTGTAGGAAACTACAACTCCCTACTTCGTCGCACAGTTCAGGCTTGATCTGATTTATCTCTACAGAAACTGCACATCGAGCTCACAGAAAAAAACGAAAGAAATGGAATTCAATTAATTGAACCGATGTCTGTCAATTAGTTGTTTAAAAACCTAAATATAACCAACATTTTGGTTAATCGCTCAGCACTACAAACATAACACTGCACTGTATTTTAAACTGGTGTCTGACTCAAAGAATCAGAAAGGATTTATCCTTACTCTGATTGTGTGATTGTGGAAATTTCCTCTAACCAAATTAGAATGATAGATCTACATTTGTTTATAGGCCAGCTGCTGGCCTGCTGAAGGATACTGTAGTTTCTCCAGGGCGTTGTTGTCGATGGTTCCCAGGCTGTTGTACACCAGAGTACTGCTGAGCAGGACAGCCAGGGAAAAGATCCAGTTGTCATTCTCCTCATCACCCTGCAGACACAACAGAAGGAACACATTGGTATTCTGTTCATACTAGAGTGAAATTAAGTCAGTGAGGAAAATCCAGCATTAAGTTTGTTACAATTCTAGAACAAGCCATTACTTTGCTGTGTGTTTTTAACTTGTTTTATGTTACAGCATGACATTTGTTTAAACTCTACAATAAGCCTCAGCTGTATGTTTTTAACCTGCTTTATGTATGTCCACAGTGTACATCAGTACAATATTTTTTGGACAAGACACTGCTCCAGTATTTTCAGTAAACATAGTTACTTTGTTGAGCCAACAACCATTTAGTTAAATCAGCCATATACAGTATGAGGTCAGCAACCCACAAATGTGACGTACTTTCCCACCTTGCATGCATATATATATATATATATATATATATATATATATATATATATATATAATCTCTTTTGAGCTTCACCATACGATGGGTCCACATTACAAACATTAGATTGTGCATTAACTGCCAGCCCCAGACGTACAGTAATATACATCTTACATTACAGGTAATGAAATCTGTTATCAGTACTGGACACTGTCCATTGAGATAACATGGGACTTTCCCTATTTGAAAAACAAAGCAGTATGCAGAATCCTACAGTAGTTACGCTGTATTCTGTCATCTCATCAAGACCACAAAATATCAGTATCTACCAATATTATCATCCAAGGTATTGTATTTCAGGATTCAGGATCAATATTTCCTTATTGTATAAAAAGAGATTAATTAACTCAATCCAGTAGATGCTTATGCTAAATGTAATGTTTCGAAATGTGTTGACAGAGTGAACTTTGACCTCCCACCTTCTCCACATCCCCCAGCCCCTCTGTATCCAGCAGCACCAGGGTGTGGTCTCTTTTTTCAGGATGAGGCACACACCACATCCAGATGCCCTTAGTTTTGGACTGGATGGTGGCTCCAAGGGCAAAACCTTGAGGACAGAGGATAAAAACTGTTCTTAGGACATTAAAATAAAATAAGAAATCTGTAAAGAGGCAGCTGGATATGAAGTGTTTACTCAAGACAGCTGGTTTTCAGATGAACCTTTTTAAATTATATATCATGCTGACAGACTGAACGTGAATCTAGTAGCCAGTGCAATAACAAGATGCGTCACAGGTCATGTATGGAATTTATTTTTCCACTCTCCATATATCCACAGAACCAACCTAGAACATCTGGTCAGGATATAACTAACCTAAAGTAGCAGGTGTAAAAGCAAATGCCTGAAACTATACTGAACAAAAATATAAATGCAACATGCAACAATTTAAAATATTTTACTGAGTTACAGTTCAGATAAGGAAATCAGTCAATTGAAAAATTCAATAGGCCCTAATCTATGGATTTCACATGACTGGGGAATGCAGATATGCATCTGTTGGTCACAGATACCTTCAAAAAAAAGTAGGGGCGTGAATCAGAAAACCAGTCAGTATCTGGTGTGACCACCATTTGCCTCATGCAGCGCGACATCTCCTTCGCATTGAGTTGATCAGGCTGTTGATTGTGGCCTGTGGAACATTGTCCCACTCCTCTTCAATGGCTGTGCGAAGTTGCTGGTTATTGGCGGGAACTGGAACACGTTGTCGTACACGTAGATCCAGGGCATCCCAAACATGCTCAATGGGTGACATGTCTGTTGAGTATGCAGGCCATGAAAGAACTGGGACATTTTCAGCTTTCAGGAATTGTGTACAGATCACAGGAGGTTGGTGGCACCTTATTTGGGGAGAACGGGCTTGTGTTAATTACTGGAGCGGAATGGTACCATATACATCAAACATGGTTTCCAGGTGTTTGATGCCATTCCATTTGCTCCGTTCTAGCCATTATTGTGAGCCATTCTCCCCTCAGCAGCCTCCTGGGGTACAGATCCTTGCGACATGGGGCCGTGCATTATGCTGAAACATGAGGTGATAGCGGCGGATGAATGGCACAACAATGGGAGTCAAGATCTCCGCACGGTATCTCTGGGCATTCAAATTGCCATCGATAAAATGCAACTGTGTTCTTTGTCCGTAGCTTATGCTCGGCCATACCGTAACCCCACCATGGGGCACTCTGTTCAGAACGTTGACATCAGCAAACCGCTCGCCCACACAACGCCATATACGTGGTCTGCGGATGTGAGGCCGGTTGGACGTACTAATTCTCTAAAACGACGTTGGAGGCAGCTTATGGTAGAAAAATGACCATTCAATTCTTTGGCAAAAGCTCTGGTGGACATAACTGCCATCATCATGCAAATTTCACACTCCCTCAACTTGAGACATCTGTGGAATTGTGTTGTGTGACAACTACACATTTGAGTGGCCTTTTATTGTCCCCAGCACAAGGTGCACCTGTGTAGTGATCATGCTGTTTAATCAGCTTCTTGATATGCCACACCTGTCAGGTGGATGGATTATCTTGGCAAAGGAGAAATGCTCACTAACAGGAAGTAAACAAATGTATGCACCAAATTTGAGAGAAATTTGGGGATTTTTTATTTCAGCTCATGAAACATGGGACCAACACTTTACATGTTGTGTTTATATTTCTGTTCAGTGTAGAACCCGTACGTACTGGTCTTGATAAGAAAAAATAACTTGTCAGGAGATCTCTTCTGCACTGTTCAACCAATCCAGTAAATGTGGAGGAGGAGTTAAGATGGAGCAGAAGCAGAAGTCGCATCACAGGCTCCCTTTCCATTTTCCCTGAACACCGGAACATCCGATTGTTGGGGACTCGGCAGAGGCTAGAACAAAACTGTAGACTTTGGTACTGGGTACTTACAAAACTCACCTTAACGTCTTCAAATATGAATTACTAAAGTTCTCATTGGGTTATTCCAGAAGTCATGTTCTTCCAAATCAAGGGCTTTAATGAAATGACTGGCTCTGACTGTTGCTGTAATAAACTGGTTGTACTTCATAGTGTAAAACTGAAAGAGAAACTAACTAGTTTCCACAATGCAATAATAGGATGCATTAAAATTCCCAATTTTGTGAGAGAAATAACCGTCAAAGCGTAATATGGTCAGAACAGGACAAATCTGTACTTTGGTGCGACCTATCTAATGTCTCTCGAACCCTGAATGTCAACTGCAGTACATATAGACATGCTGTACACATAACACTTTCTGTTATGAGAAATAATGATCTAATACATAATCATATAACAGTGTTGAGGTCATGCATATTGTTATGTATATTGTTTGGACTTTGGACCATAGTTTAAAAAATGCTTGAGTGGTTCACCTTTCCTCTCCCCAGCCAGCTTGTTCATGAGGTAGGACTTACCGGTGCGGTACAGCCCGACCACCGCCACCACTACCACATGCTGGTCAATCTGGTCCAGGATGTCCAGTGCACTGCGGACCACACGCAGCTTCCCATCACTGTCGTTCTCAATCAGACATACTGGTTCCTTCATGGATACTGTCTGGCCTGCCATGATGCTGTCCGATAGAAACCCTGGCAAGGACACACATAAGAACTTTTGATTGAGTAGGACACTGTGTGTGTGTGTCATAAAAGTACCTACAGACGTTTTTTATTGCAATTAAATGTAAAGTGATAAAGGAGGCACAGGAACAGGTGATGAAGAGTGAATCAAGGCTTATCATAATAGATTGGGTGGAAAGTGACAAAAAATAATAATTCAGCCCCGGTCCTGGCCGTTCTGTCGCCCTAGGCCAGACAAAAAAAATGGAATCTCCATAGACAAACATTAGCAGTAGAACGGCCTTACTGAAGACCTGAGTGACTTTAACGTGGCACCGTCATAGGATACCACCTTTCCAACAAGTCAGTTCGTCAAATTTCTGCCCTGCTAGAGCTGCCTCAGTCAACTGTAAGTGCTGTTATTGTGAAGTGGAAACGTCTAGGAGCAACAACGGCTCAGCCGCAAAGCGGTAGGCCACAAAAGCTCACAGAATGGGACCGGCGAGTGCTGAAGCGCGTAGCAACACTCACTACTGAGTTCCAAACTGCCTGTTGAAGCAATGTCAGCACAAGAACGGTTTGTCGGGAGCTTCATGAAATGGATTTCCATGGCCGAGCAGCCATACAAAAACCTAAGATCACAATGCGCAATGCCAAGCGTCGGCTGGAGTGGTGTAATGCTAGCCGCCATTGGACTCTGGAGCAGTGGAAATGCGTTCTCTGGAGTGATGAATCACACTTCCTCATCTGGCAGTCTGACGGACAAATCCGGGTTTGGCGGATGCCAGGAGAATGCTACCTGCCCGAATATAGTGCCAACTGTAAAGTTTCTATATACAGTGCCTTCGGAAAGTATTCAGACCCCTTGACTCTTTCCACATTCTGTTACATTACAGCCTTATTAAAATTGATTAAAAAATAAAATCTATTTTACATTTACATTTTAGTCATTTAGCAGACGCTCTTATCCAGAGCGACTTACAGGTGCAATTAGGGTTAAGTGCCTTGCTCAAGGGCACATCGACAGATTTTTCACCTAGTCGGCTCGGGGATTAGAACAACGCTCTTAACCACTAAGCTACCTGCCGCCTCAGCAATCTACACATAATACCCCATAATGACAAAGCGAAAACAGGTTTTTAGAAATGTTTGCAAATCTATAAAAAATTTAACTGAAATATCACATTTACATAAAGTATTCAGTCCCTTTACTCAGTACTTTGTTGAAGCACCGTTGGCAGCGATTACAGCCTCGAGTCTTCTTGGGTATGACGTTACAAGCTTGTACACCTGTATTTGGTGCAAACATTTCTAAAAACCTGTTCTTGCTTTGTCATTATGGGGTATTGTGTGTACATTAATGAGGGGAAAAAACAATTTAATCCATTTTAGAATAAGGCTGTAACGTAACAAAATATGGACAAAGGGGTGTGAACAGTTTGTCATGACCAGTGCTTGTGCCCATAGAAATTACGTGGCGAGGGATGTTCCCCAATGCTGGAAGGGGGGCCTGTATGAAAAAGTTTGGGAACCCCTGGCCTACAGTGTTGACCACAATGGAATTTTATGAACGTGGTACGCCTACCATTTGTAAAATCGGCAGTTGCATTGGCTTTATTAGTCCTGATTCCTTTTCAATTTGGCTATCTAAGCTCTGAATGTCAGCTACCCAACTTTATCAGAAGTTATCCTAAGCCTATTTGCAATGAAAATCAGTGTTTATACAGTGGGAAATGCAGAAGTATTTTATTTTTCGCTATGATCAGGTAGTCAAGAATGTACGGATAGAACTTGAAACCATTGTTAATGACAATTTGCCCAAGGGGTGAAACTCCTGGAATAGCCTGATTGTCCATTCCATATTGTCCATTTTACTTTGGCATGTCCTGTTTTTAGGATATGGTGTTTGTTAACATGTCAGTGCATTTTTTATTTGATTGGGCGCCATTTCGGTTAGGCTATTTGATCGGAGAAACGTGCATGGTGTAGAAAGTGTCCATCTCTGTAAGAAAGCATGTCCCTTTAAGAACTCAGTGATGACGTCACAGCTATCACAAGCTGGCATTGTTTAGTTCATTACCAACTGCAGCTTGCCACCTACTGCTGTGAACACAAATCTCCGTTTTGGACATTATTTCCTTTCTGACCAATTTATTCATCACTGTGTGTGAATACCAAAACTGTAAGTAAGGTACAGTACATTTTTTAAAAGTTACAGCCTTATTCTAAAATGGATTAAATAGTTTTTTCACCCTCAACAATCTACACAGATTACCCCATAATGACAAAGCAAAAAATGTTTGTTTTTTTTATTAAAAAAAAATGAATATGAAATATCACATTTACATAAGTATTCAGACCCTTTACTCAGTACTTTGTTGAAGCACCTTTGGCAGCGATTACAGCCTCGAGTCTTCTTGGGTATGACGCTACAAGCTTGGCACACCGGTATTTGGGGAATTTCTCCCATTCTTCTCTGCAGATCCTCTCAAGCTCAGTCAGGTTGGATGGGGAGTGTCGCTGCACAGGTATTTTCAAGTCTCTCCGGAGATGTTCGATTGGGTTCAAGTCCAGGCTCTGGCTGGGACACTCAAGGACATTCAGAGACTTGTTTTTCCGAAGCCACTCCTGAGTTGTCTGCTGTGTGCTTAGGTCGTTGTCCTGTTGGAAGGTGAACCTTCGCCCCAGTCTAAGGTCCTGAGTGCTCTGATGCAGGTTTTCATCAAGGATCTCTCTGTACTTTGCTCCATTCATCTTTCCCTCGATCCTGACAAGTCTCCCAGTCCCTGCCGCTGAAAAACATTCCCACAGCATGATGCTGCCACCACCATGCTTCACCGTAGGGATGGTGCCAGGTTTCCTCCAGACGTGACGCTTGGCATTCAGGCTAAAGAGTTCAATCTTGGTTTCATCAGACCAGAGAATCTTGTTTCTCATGGTCTGAGTCTTTTGGTGCCTTTTGGCAAACTCCAAGCGGACTGTCATGTGCCATTTAATGAGGAGTGGCTTCCGTCTGGCCACACTACCACAAAGGCCTGATTGGTGGAGTGCTGCAGAGATGGTTGTCCTTCTGGAAGGTTCTCCCATCCCCACAGAGGAACTCTGGAGGTCTGTCAGAGTGGCCATCGCGTTCTTGGTCACCTCCCTGTTTTTGCTTTGTCCTTATTGTGTATTGTGTGTAGGTTGAGGAGAAACATTAATTTAATCAGTTTTAGCATAAGGCTGCAACGTAACAAAATGTGGAAAAAGTCTAGGGGTCTGAATACTTTCCGAATGCACTGTATATGTTTTCCCCATGTTTTACTGACAAAGTTGTGATAGAGGAATTATGATTATGACTAAAATTGTTAACCCCAATACTGATGATGACTGTGTGAACTGTGTTAGGGTTATCATTATAAACCCACTAACAGAGGGGGTGAGTTAGAAACTGCTGAGACAAACATTCCAGGATGAAGGGGACTGAGAAACTGGTTAAAGGTCTCCTAAAGGTGGGTGGAGCAAAGTGCCTTTGTGTGAAGTATAAAAGCTGTATATGTGTTTTTTGGCGGCAGAGCTCTCCATGATTAAACATACAGATCATTCTTGCCGGTTGTGGACCTTTGTTTAATTCATGATTAAACCAGAGCCTTACACCCTCTGGGAATTATTCAGAGCATTAAGTTTGATTAATTAGAGATAAAAATTCTCGTGACAAATGGTCCTTCGAGCCGGATCTCAAAATACGTCTTTATTGTTCTGAGGACACCGAAAACCGTGCAGGGGCGGATGATATCATCCGTATAGAATAGACCTGGCCTTTGACGTTAAGGTTATAAACAGGCCGGTGATGAACCTTATGAACGATAAAGACGTTGACGAGATCTGAAAAAGCATTTAAATCCCAACTGCAAGGATAAGGTCAGTAATTTTTATTCATGGCTTTTGGTGGAATGATTTGAACTTGTATAAGAATAGTAATTCTTGTGAAGGGCAGAGAATAATTACCAAAATCTCATAAGACTTGCCATATTCTAGAGTGGTAAAGCACAGTAACTTAAAGGAAGGAAGGGGGTCTGAAATGACTCAAGGTAAATGGCCATTACCAAAATAAACTAGTTAATATTGAGATTGTACGGGGTACAGTGTTTACAATATAAACAGGAAGGGAGATAATTATCATTGTGTGAGATAGATACATTAAACAAGTCAAGAGTCATAAACAACTGGGGATTTGCTCTAACTCTGTCTATTTCATAAAACTAGAGCAGTTATGACCTCTGGGTTACGGATAATGTTAGCAAAAAATCGTATAAGGTTGTACGTGTGAGACCTAATGATCCATCGAAATACGTGATAATTGTTTCAAGGAAGGGGCTAAAATAGGTCGCGTGAGGAAAAAATTGTTGTCCCATACGTTTCATGAAACTGGGGTCTTAAAAACCTCTGGGTTACGGGTTGAATAATTTAAATGGTTGATTACAAAAGCAGATCATAACATTTGCTCAAAAGTCGCACCTAATAATAAGTCCCAAAGAAAATAATTATTGATTGAATTATTACTAAACGGGGAGATTTCTTATTTTTCTACCATGGGAAATAAATATTCTAAAGAGGTCCGAGAATTAACGGGGAATGAAAGATATATGTTAGGAAGGGATCAAAGAAATATGTATTATGGATCCATTTGGGAGAAGAGGTATGGATTTATTGGGCATCTCGATGTAGAGAAATTAGAGGCTATGATTAGGCAGATGCATGTAAATTGCGGAACGGATTATATGTTGAGTCAGGGTGTGTATGTTCTATGTTGTGTATTTCTATGTTGGGTTTCTATTATGTGTAGATCTATGTTGGCCGGTGTGGTTCCCAATCAGAGGCAGCTGTAGCTCGTTGTTTCTGATTGGGGACCATACTTAGGCAGCCTATTGGCACTAGTGGGTTGTGGGATCTTGTTCCGTGTTAGGTATGTTGTTTGTGTACCTTGGACTTCACGTTTCGTTTCTTGTTTTGTCGTTGTGTTTATAAGTC